GTATGCCAGAGACAGAGGAACTTGAACAAAAGGGAGAAGTTTTGTGACTTTTCCTGGCATGTTGCAAGATTGCAGAGACTCTGAAACAGCTTCCTTTTAGCCCTCCCATTATTAATTTCAGGTAATACTCACGGCTGTGATTAATATCACCAACCTCATGGCTGGGCAGGCCTCTGCTTTAGAGCAGGTTGTGTCTGTGCCTGATACTCTTCCAAGCGAAGACTGAAGCTTTTGGATCATGGAAATTCTCTACCTGAGAGGTTACACCTCACACTGCTGGAGGAACTGGTGCTTTCTGGCTGGCGATGGTGTTCTAGACTTGCCTGTGTGACATGACTGCTTTCAGTTTTCCTTCACCTACCAACAAACCAATGTTGGGAAGAGGCTGACAGCCTTTCTCCCAGCACACCTGTGCTGCTGTTGCAGTGGGTCTTGTTCAGGTGTTGCTCTCAACACCAACAGACTTCCACGCCCCTGGGCACCTTGTCCTCTCTTGTGGCTCTCAGTGTGATTCGCTGCTGCTGTGATGCCTGCAGGGTGCTTCCAGAGGGAAGGTGAGGCAAAGGTGAGCTGTGCTGTAAGCAATTACGTTACAGGAGAATTGTTATTTGTGGAGGTTGCATCCTACTTTTCTTCGAGTCCTCCTTTTTATCTGTACCTGTGCTTTCTCTCTACAGCGAACTCAGGGGGTACAGAAGTAGAGGGGGTGACAAAGCTACTTAAATGATAGGTAGTTCTACTCATACAAGTTCAGAGCCATAATCATGTGCAGAAGCTCTGTGCAGAGGCGTAGATTAGTCTACTTGCAACTGATGAACAGTGCACTGAACATGCGTGCCTCCATACTGCTAAAAACCCGTCTGTCACAGCGGGGTGATGTGGGACCGCTGTATCTGACATGCGAGAACCTCCAGCACCGTCCCTGCCTGCCTTAAGCCTTCTGGTGTGCTTTTGGAAATCCGTTTTTGTTTTTTTTTTTCAAACCCTAGACAGTAGGGAAGCAAATAGTCCTGGCTTGGCTCCTGATTAGTTTAGAACCTGAACCCCACAAATAACATTATTCAAATTTAAAGCGTTTTAGAGTTAAGATTAGACTCAAGTTCTTGCTGTCAGGGAGAGAAATGAATCTCTCCGTTGCAGTGAGAGATCCTGCCTTGCTACAGGTGCCCCTCTTTGCTTGCAGATCTAACAGCTCTCTGATCTGACAGGACTCTCTGGGTAATGAGAGTCCATGTGTTCAGAAAGCAAGCTAAGGAAGGAACTGAATATTTGACTCTAAGATTTAAAAGCAATTTCTTATTTTTTTATACATCTTTTTAACGATGACTGGTAGGAACTGGTGCTTTTAGGACAGGGTTCCTGGGAATTAGAAGTGAACTGCCAGGAGCAGCCCGTAGATGGCAATGTAAGATCCTCGAATTGGGCACATTCTGCGGTCTGCAGTGATGAAAACCCCCTATCTTAACCAAGCACTGAAGCACAGGTAGGATTCACACTGTTTATCATTAACTTGACTCTTCTTCAGAATTGACCAATGTGGTCTAGCAGAATTGACCGTTCCTTCCTTTGTGGATGCATTTCAATACTAAAACTTTTATAGTTAGAAATACAGTTTTATTCAAAGACGGTAAATAATGATAAATTTTGGATTACAGGGAAAACTTTGACTTTGCATATCAGTCATATGCAAAAAATTAAATATGCATCACGGTCTTGTGCAAGCTCTTGAAGTACTTTAGCTGTGGGCTAGAGTTGCTGCTGTCAGTATGAAGAGCAAGGAGTCAATGGGAAATAATCCCCCAATTTATGCATGTCACACCAAGAAGAATACTTTATTAATGAATTTTAGGGCATACAGAAGCCTGTGTGTTGGGACACCAACTATTGTTGCTGGTGCTGCTTTTCTGATCCCGTCAAATCATGTTTGTTTTCATCCTGTGATACCCGTATTGAATTTGTGCTCTCTGCTTTCACCTAACTAAAAGATAACTTCACCCAATTATTGTGCCACATGATACTCTGCAGTCTTAATTTTCCCCACTCAGGTTGTCCCCTGAAGCATTCCTCTCAATAATTAAAGACACCTGCAATTCCACAGTGTTGGATCTGATCTGCTTGATTTCCCAAGGTGTGCTTCTATTTCTGAGTGATACTGAGTTGTCTTTTCCTTGCTTGGCCTGAGAACTGCTACTGACAGAAAAGCTCCCGATGCTATTACTCAGTTTGTTCATGACATGAAGTGTTTCACTAATGAAAATGAGCAGCATCACTTCAATGTATTGTTCAGTAATTGTGTGTCAAAACTTTACCCCTCTATATAATTACGTACAGGAGCTCATGCTAGCCCACACAACTTTGTTCTTGTGATAGGCACCCGTTTAAATTACAGTGTTATGCTGAGCAGAAAGATAAACATTACCATACTCACTGACCACTTAACTTGAATGATTGAGAGCTGTAAAATTGTCTGTCTAGCTTTGGAAACAAGCAGCCTTGGGTTTCTAATCTCCAGCTGAGGGCTGGGAACTGCTTGTATTCCAGGTCAGTCATTTGAGCAGGCTAATTATTGTAGTTTAAAGCCCTGTTTTTCTGGACCCACAGTGAATGTAGGGAAAAAAATATGAATATAATTAAGTATGGCTACAAAACTGCAGGTCATTAAATAGGATACCTGATAAAGGAGAAGCTGAAACCTCATCTTGACAGCATTACATGTGTTTATGTGCCCTAGCTGACTCCAGTGTTGCACAAGGCTGTTCAGCTCGTCACAAGGGCTACAGGGATAATGAATGAATATTTATAAAGTGTAGCAAATACGCTCTAATTACCCTAATTGGCCTACTGTGTTTCCAGTTATGGCAGAACTTTATTTCTGTTCAAGTGACATTTGCTTCTGGATTAGTTCCCACAGGCAAAGAGAAAGTAAAACTCTGTTGGACAGGGCAGAAACGTCCCCTGATGCTATGGTCATGCAGCTTCTTCAACCTGCTTTTGGCAGGGCTAATAGCACTCCTGGTATCGTTTGTGAATTCTAAGGAGTGTTTCAGAAGACACGAGATGCTGGAAAATGACAAAGAAAAACAACAAGCAAAAAGGGAGGAAGTTCTGATTTTATTGTTAATAATTAATAGGCCAAACTCGGAACGTTTTCAGTTTGGCAGTGCAGTGCAGGCAATATTCTTGACTTTATTTGTGGTATACCAATTTATCTTAATATGTGGTGTGTGACTTTACATAGTCCTATACAGTGACTGGCTGATGCCAAACAAGGAATACTGTCCGAAGGACTTACACTCTAATGTTACAAGACGAGACAGAACATGCACAAAGCTGAAGTCTGCGGTGAGGTGGAAGTTTTGGATCTAAACCAGTCTTCTGTGCTTCCCTGTCCTTTTTATGTGGTCATTACTATGTTAGGAATACTGAGATCATTACCAGTGCTGAAATGGGATTATGAAATGCCACACAGGTAGTGATAAATGAATGGGTAAATCTAGTGTTAAGCATTTTCTGTGTTGGCAATAGAACTTCTGAAGGCATTTTTGTGGCTGGGGGTGACATTCATCCAGTCGTGACCTCTAGCTCAGGCCTTCAGTTCTGCCTAGTCCCTGTAGGTTGCACTCCCTGTGTTCTCGAGATGGCCTATGGGATACCACAGTTCCACCATTTCAGAAGACATTGTACTTCAGGCATGTTTTTTTCTGTATTTTTGGTACCCATATTGTCTTCTGGATAAATAGGTAGTAAATTCCTGTTAAATCTCACACAAGGGAGCCAACAGAACTATTAACCTGGAAAGAACTAGGCCGTGAACCATTGTAGCACTGACTGATGCATGAGCAGAGATCGATGGCCCAGTCTTCAAAGTCACATTTGTCACTTTTACTTCTAATTTCTGCTTAAACAGAGTCAATTAAATCTGTAGGTTTGGAAGCATCCACTCCAGTTTTCAGCCTGTCACAAACCTGAGAGAGGGATGTGAACTTTTACGGCTTTGTTAGAGTATGTTCTTTTCCTCTTGTTTTAATTTACTAGTCTTGTTTCTTAACTAAGCCAAAAGAAAACCCAAATCAGTAATTGGGGGGAACAGAACTATTTCAGTCAGGCACGAGCTGCCAAGAACCACGTTTGCCACTGCCGTTGTTTCACACTGATCCTGGCCAAGGCCAAGCTGACCTCTCTGGCCCAGGATTCTGGGTGCTGCTTCCTATTTCTTGGTCTCCACAGGTAGTGAATGAGACGTGGAAAGGACAAATAACATGGAGTTAGTGCTGGAAGATATGGGTGGGTCTGTACAATTCAGGATTAAGGCTCCAATTCATCTGACCTAACACTGGGTTTTTAATGAGACACCTGAACTAGGGATCTGGTTCATTCTAGGCACCCTTTATTTAAAAGATAAAGAATGGGGAAGACTACACACTGCCAGGGGTGAGTCAGATCTCCGGCAACTAGGCTGCCCCTTCAGGTGCTTTGGTAAGTGCCTAACGCGAATTTTGACTCTGAGCCTCAGTGTGTAGCCTGAAGGGGGAAGACTGAGCAGAAAGCTTTTGTTCAGAGCGACTCCTATGAAACTTTGGTTTAATAAGACCACAGAGCTATAGCAGTAGAAATGAGAACCTTCTACAGCAAAACTTCTTTGCTTTTGCATCAGCCTGAATACCCAGTTAAATTCTACCCACACAAGTCATGAATGTAGAGAGCATGCCAGCTTTCCTTCCCAGACGTGGAGCTGATGATGTGCAAATTCATGATTCAGTTCTGCATAATTGTTGGTATTGCTTAATTGGACTTGCTAAAGCCTCTGACTGTTCGGTAACACTACGAAAACCTCTGACTATGGAAATCTGAAGTACTGAGAAAAATACTGAAGTAATGAGAAAAACAAAGGAGCAATGATTTTATCCCATTTGTTACTGTTTTTTGAGGACATGCAGATGAAGAAGGGAAAGATTATGGAGAAAGTAATTTAATACAACACCTTTACCTGGAAGTTCTGGTTTTATTAGGGATTTTTCTCATCCTCAATCTCCACACATCCTTCCAGTTCTTTTCTGGAACCTGTTAGTTTCTTTGATTAAACGGTTAAAATTGTTTCTGAGTTATGTCCCAATTAACAGGTCAGTAACTGATTGTGACTCTTGGGACAACATGCAAGAAAATTTTCCCTATTCAAACTGCTGAACTGGTACCTAGGTTGTTCTATACTGAGAGATTTTTTTTTTTTTTATTTTTTACAACCAGCATGCTTCAGCTAGTGATACTTCCAGCCCAAACTCTCCCTCAGCTGCTGGTCACTCACTCCTCATGACCCCAGGATGTCATGCCTGCCTGTAGTATGCCTGAGTCTCTCTATACCTTAAGAAGCACATGGAAGTGAAAGGAGAACTTAACACTTTATTAACCAAAATGAATACAGCTGCTGCTGTTTGAATTCACGCTGTAGTATTTCTGCAGTATACCCAGGTTAATATAAATAGCAATGCGAGCCTATCTCCAGTGGAGACGAGCACCACTCTTTATCAATGGCAATTCAAACAATTCTTTTGACTTCAGGAAAGCACAAAGTGTTTTTATTGGGACTTTCTTGTTGACTTCACATGCTGTTAAAATGCAAAAAAGGAGTGATAGGTGACTTGGTAGCTGTCAGCTGTGTCACTGGAAACAGCCAGCTTTTGAATCAATGCATAATTTTCATGAATTTGACTAAAATTCCAGATAATGTACTGTAAAGAGGCATAATCGTGTTAAACGTTCAGCCTTCACAGCAGAAGCTGGAACGCAGCATGTGGGTTTCATATTAACGTTGTGCTCTGAAGACGTATAGCTGGCTTTATTTAGCATAAGGACTACAGTATGCGTTACCTTGTGTAAAACACAAGCAAGTTTGTTAGAGTGATTCACAGTGAAACATGTTGGTATGCTTACAAGAGATGTGTTGCCAAGCTCAGAATTACACAGGGGTGCATCCTGGAAGGCTTCTTTGTTCCTGGCTCAGGCAGAACTCCCAACAGGCAAGATACTTTCACAGGTTTGCTCAACCAACACCCAAATTCAGGGTGATTTATTTATTTTTATTTTTTTCTGGACAAGGACTTCAGAATCAAGCTATAATTCTGGCATAAAGTGATACATGAAATTAATGAGGATTAACTCAAAGTAAAGGCACTGAGAAAATGGACAGATCTTCAGCATTTATTAGGTAGGGAAAAAAAAGGAAATAAGCTTAGGTTTTATTTGGTAAGACTTGATTTCTCTTTATATTCACTTACAGCTTCTTATTTCTGGCTCAGCCTGTCAAAAACATCCTTAGATAAGCAACTGTTGCTCACAGGACTAATCTAATTACTGTCTCTTTTTATGACTGCTGACACAAAGGTAGAAGGATGTATAGCACTTGTGTTGAAGCCAATTCTACAGATGATCAAACATTTTTGAAATTAAGAGTATTTTGGATGGAAAATGTGTTCCTTTTTTCGTCATAATGTTCCCATTTTTTGTCCAACTCTAATTAGAGCCGAAGAACAAGAGTGAAAAGCTGGTTGTAGTCCTAGCTCTGGCATGTAATTAATTGCCAAGAGTTTAGTCTGGGTCTTTTAGCGCTGCAGTAAAGCTCCGTAGGCACGTTTACCTATGACAGGCTGAAGAGTCTTAGATCCCTAATTATTTGTAGAGTACATTTTTGCAAGTTTTGTAACTATTCCCTAAAATAAGCATACCAAAACACCTTCAAATTGTTTTTTAAAGACATTTGAAAAGAAAACCGGTGTAACATGGACTTGGCCAAATAGCACAGGCTGAGGAACTTCCAAATCTCTCCCTAGCTCTTAACAGTTAGTGAGGAAAAAAAAAAAAGTGGAATTCATACATTTATCTTTTCTTTACCTCTGAGCACACATGAAGTCAAGCAATTGGATTTGACTCTTCTTTTTTTTAAAGGCCTGGAGTTTGTCTCCTGAGTTATGTGAACCAGTCTCGTTCCCTCTAAAATAAAAGGGAGGTCTGTCGGTAATCTCCAGAGAAAGAGGTGCCAAAGCCCAGCACCTTGCTGACCCGTGTACTCCCACTGGCTTCAGCAGGGGAACTTGGACCAAGACACATGTGGATGAATAATACACCTGTGCTTTAGGACCTAATTGCCTTTTCATAGCCTATTTAAAATTTTCTCTGGTACTGTGATGTCTGTAATAACGGTAAAGTTATAGTTAATTAAGTCTTAGGTCCCTCGTGATTGAGGACAGTAAAGTATAAAGCTGTCAGTACCCCCCACTCCATGACTCAAATGATATTTTCTTTTTTTCATCATTGGCAACTTCCCACGACCATATATTTTCTGCTCCTTTTAAAGAACCAAATGCAGAATGTGAATGGGTAGCTGCAATATTGATCTGCCAAGTAATGGTAGGGTGTCCCCTGGAAACAGGCCTCTTTTAATTCTGTTTCATATCTGAGGTAAAGTAAAAACATGGAAACAGATGGTAGGGAACGACTGGCATCTTATCATGCATATTTCATTTGATTTGCAGCTATTCGCCTCTTGATAATGTTAAATGCTACAAAACTCAAAAGACTTTGTTCCTTGGAATCCTACATTCGGTGACATAGGATCAGCGTTGTAACTTCATTTAAATTTTGAAGCTGGTGAGCTCTAAGTATTTACATCTTTAGCGAGGTTATGATACAAACACTTTGATTCTCTTTTTTTTTCTTTTTTTTTTTTTTTTTCCTGTTACGTTTATGGCTGACTTGCACGGAAATATACAGTTGGTGTTGTGAACAATAACTCTTAGTGTTTTTTAAGAGCACAATGGGACAAACAGCTGTGGTTATTTCCATCACGCTCTGAGGCATTTTACTGGGAGAGAATTTAGCCATTAATTTTCTTGTATTTACATTATTTATATACAAGAAGACCAAGAAAAATGGCAGCCTGCTTAATGATTATATACATTGTGATTTGTTTGAAAAAATGTGTATTTCAAATGACAAAACAGCCTGTCACGTACAGAATTATATGTTGTTCCTATTTTTGTCAGAGAACTTTCAATCCCTAAAATCCCACCGTATGATTTCAGTGAAAGATCTGTCCCAAACGTTATACTGGGAAGGTCAGGGGGAAGAAACAACATAATAATAGCCTTCTTAAACCACATCAGTTCCTGGTTAATAGCCCCTTTTCTTCCTTTTAATATGAGGGTTACCTTTGTAAAAAGCTTCCAAAGCAAATTAAAAGGTGAAATCTGTTACAACAAAACATTACTTGACACGAGGAAAAATAGCAACTTAAATTTCATTCATTTTCCCTAGTCTCAGAAGAGAGACTGGGAAATAAAATATCACTCCCTTGTGATGCATTGCTTATCTGAGACTTTGTTTTTAATAAGAACTGTGCTCTCCTGTACATTATTCTTTCTTGTTCTTGCTTTAGCTCAAGGTAGGACCGTGAAAACGTGTGGAAGATGGAAGTGACTGGAAATGCCATGAGGAGGATGCCGCTCAGGATGCTGCTCAGCGCCACCACTTGGCCGGGAATGCTCCTGGGAACCATATCTCCGTAGCCTACCGTGGTCATGGTGATGACAGCCCACCAGTAGCACGCGGGGATGCTGGTAAACTCCTGTGAGTCCGCCATCTCGTTCTCGATGACATACAGGAGCGGTGCAAACAGTGCAATGGCCACGCAGAGGAAGAGCAGCAGGAGACCAAACTCCCGGGTGCACCTGCGAGCGGTCAGCCCCAGCGTCTGCAGCCCCAGGGAGTGCCTGGCCAGCCGCATAACGTAAAGAATCCTCAAGGCACGGAGTATACGGAGGACCAGACCTACTTTGTCCAGGTAGATGCTCCCAGAGCTGGGCTTTTTGTAGCCCACTGAAGTGGTATCTACTAGCAAAGTGATGTAATATGGCAGAATGGCTATGATGTCTATCAGGGTTAGAGGTCTTCTCAAAAATGCAAACTTGCTCTTTGCCTGGATGAATCTTAGCAGGAACTCCAGTGAAAACCACGCCACACAGACAGACTCCACAATGAAAATATTGTAGCACATCTGGGAACACTCACCCTGGAAGAAAGAGGAGGAGTTTGTAATCGGCACTTGGATAATAACTATTTTAGTTGGTACGGTGACAGAAAGAGAGTTTTGTGGGCTTTTTAAAACCCAAAATATTAAAGGAATTGAAGCTGTTGCTATGGGGAAACACATTGACAAATTGGAACAAGTTAAATGCAAAACTTAGACAAGAACTACTTATTGCACAGAAGATGTTGCTTGGTTATTTCAGGCATTCTAAATACCAAATGCAAGCCTAACAAGGTGTTATACAATACAAGTGTACTGAAGAATGCCCACTAACAACATTTTCTTTGGACATAGAACTTGATATGGTTGATTCTTACAAGTAATTGAACACAGTCACGTAAGATTTCCAATCTTCTTCGTGCTATTTTTTCGCTCTAAAGGCAGCCGCAAAATCCCCATTCAAATCAATACCATCAGACCTCATATTTGTTCTGCTCTTCTCAGCATATACCGTTTTCCATCCTGAAAAGTTAACTTACCTTTTCCTCCTCCTCCCTTAGGTCAGGCATGGTGCTGATGGATAAATTCACTGCTGTAATAGTTACAAATAAAACAGACAAACAAGCAAACACTTTCCCAGGGAGGCCAGACTGGGGTCTTTCCACCATGTCTTGTAACTTTCTCATGCACAAGCCAATTTTTGTCTCCTCTAATGTTTCACCTGTTTCATTTTCTATGAGGTCATCCTCCCGTTCATTTATTTCAGTGAGCTCCTCCATTTTTTGCAGATACCTCCTTTTACAACACCAGTCCAAGTTATCTTCCTCAATTCCCCAGTAGAGCAGCTCCTCTTGGAAAGACAATGCACACATCTCCCGCAGGAGCCGAAGTTTTCCAACCCGCAAAAAGGTCAGGATTGTCCTGAATGCTCCTGGGTTGCGGTCGAAAAAGAATTCATTACATGTCACATCGTAATCATCACAGATGTTTAGAATGTCATCAAAATTGTTGCAGAATTTTAGCTGTCCCAAACGTGTCAATGGGAATTCATCAAGCGTGGTCCATGGGAGCAAATACTTAATGCCCCCTACGTTTATAATAATATGATGCTTCCGATCATCAGGGTGAAACCCTTTCAGGAGATCCTCCTCAGGATGAATTAGCTTGGCTCTTTGGTAAAAGACTCCCTTAAGGGTTTCTGTTTCTGGAAAGAATGTGTGGTTGAAGGAAGTATCTGAAGCACAGCTCAGGGCACTATAGTCATAATCAGAATTTTCTCCAGGTAGAAGAGTCATCTTGGAAGGTAATTTCACATCACTTCGCTACTTCTGCAAGTGTCTTCTGGAACGAAAAACAGATATATGGGTTTAGTGAGTGAGTGGTTGTTTTCGAGTTTGGAACAAATGCAGTGACTGAGGCTCAGAAACATTTATGGTTGATAAAATAATTGGAAAGAAATCAGCAGTGGCTGAGTATGGTCAGAAAAGCTTTCTGGCGAGGCTTGTTGTCCGGTCAGGTAGAACTGACTCCATTTACTGACACTGGGGAACTTTTGTCTCAAATGCTGAGGTCTCAGTTCCCAGTGGGTACAGAGGGAAACCAGGAATAATTCCTGCATGTGGCAGGATATTCCAGCTACAGAAAGGAAGTGTCAAAATTATGATAGTATCACGTAAGAACACAGAATTCAAGTGTATTTTTTAGAAAAGGAAATTATGTCTTTTTTATTTAACATTACACGTTAAAATCTTAATTATTTTAGTTTGCATTAAGTATATAGGAAAAAAAAACAGAAGTCAATTATGCTGTAATTAACTAAATACTTTGAAAAACGGTTACTATAAGACTAATTTCTAAAAAGCCATATGGAAACAATTTGGAAAAAAACACTTCTATTGATGATCACATAAAATCTTTGTATAGAGTTTACACATTTAATGACATGGCAACTCCCCTTTTAAAGACTCATTTACAAAAGATTGTTAATAAATACATGGTTTCTACACAAAAATTGGAATATTATTTCAATTACAATTGGCACCCTAAACACAACAATAGGTCTTTGTTCTAACATTGAGTAGTAGCTGAGAACCAAGGTGACTACCTCCAGCTGTGATTCTAAGAAACCAAAAAATTCTTAAGATGACTTTGAAAATCAGATTTAAATTCTGCTCACACAAAACTAGTATGAAGTCTGTGGAATGCATGGACCACAAAGCTCAAATTGGTATAAAAAACAGGTACTGGAAATGTTAAAAGGTTTTGCCTCCCTGATTCACTGCAATTTAAAAGTCAGTCTGAAAGTCTGCTCTTGCTCAGGAGAATTGTACAGCCCTGCTTCTAGGTCTTCCATCCCCACAGTCAGCTACAGCTTTATGCACAGTGTTTAATCCTTAAGCACAGAACTGTTGTTTTCAGAATCTGGGGTTTGTAAACCACATTACTACAGCTGCACTTCAGTTTAAGAGCAACAGGCTTTCTTTGCTGCATGGGGGCTTAAAATATTTTCAATAAAATACTGTCTCAGTCCTGCTCCCAGACTTCCCAGAATTACTCTAAATGAAGCAGTTCCTTACATACTCTTACAACTGAGCTTTGGATGGAGTGATGTGTTTTGATTTTTTTAATGTGTATACTCTTTAGTACAAAAAGAAATCATTCATTTACTTACCTTTAGGGCCTGTGGTAGGACTGTGGAAAAAGAAAGCCTACGGGAATATACAAGAATGGACAAGGTGTGATTCAGACCTTTCGAGAGCTGTGGTTCCATTTTCTGGCTGTTTTGGCAGAGGTAAGCTTTGTCATCTTGCTGCTATCCCAAAGTGGGATCTCTGTTGCTATTGCTAGTGATTTGAGATTGGCTGTTTGGAGGGTTAACCCACTCTCTGCTAAAATCTTAATTATGTTCAGCTTTCTGTACCTTATCATTACATACTTGTTTGTATCACTGAGGGGCCCTGTCTTTGCTCCAGAATTATAACTCTTGGGAATCCCCATGGCAGGCAATGGGCAATTCTAAAACTTCCAAAGGAGTTTTAGAAAAGGAGGGTATAATAAACTCGAGTAAACTTCTAGATTATTTAAGTTTGTGTGTTGTCTCAAGAAAGACTAAGTGAAGGCGTACTGATTTGCAAGTCCTGTCTTCTGAACGAACATTACACAAAATGCAATCGTACTAAAAAGTCACTGTCTAGAGAACTCCAGCCAACGCTGGGATTATCAGTGGAGCATCACGACAAACAGTGGCACTCTGCCACTGCCCACTGCTAAAGCTGCAGGGCTCAGATAAATGAATGGATCTCAGGAGAATGACAGCTGGCTCACATAGTGCTAGCTAGAGCATGTTGAACAGTGCAAGCAAGGAGCAGTTGAGCTTGTAATTACCCTGACTTACAGTCCTATCACACGAAGCACTCCTAGTGACCTAAGAGCTGGTCTACTAAAGCATGCCCATCTGCAGAAATGCTGCATTGTGAGCTCAAGCTGTAGGTGGGAAAATGGAGCTACCTCATGTATGGTTATGTAGGACCCTTCTCCTTAAGAGTAGCTGTTGTTTTCTTTAGAAACAAGTTTTTTCCCCTCTGCCTCAACTATGTCTAAGGCTGGGCTTGCCTAAAGAGAATAAAGATCATGATTAATGGAAGACTGTGGATAAATGGGAGCTAAGTTAACCGGTTTCCCTTCTGTAATGCCAGATGATGTTGGTTAGCAACAATTTATCCTCTGAATCTCAGCCAGGAAAAATGAGGAGGCAGCTCATCTCTGTGACTGGTTTGATCTCCCACCACATCCATTGTTGACACAATGGAAAGAAATGGGGAGAGGGAAATGTAAATGTTCGCGTGTGTCAGACACACACTGTAACCCTGAGGCATCAACTGTGAAACAACAGAGCAAAGAAAAAATAATTTTGTTCTTCACTTCCAGCTTCTCGACCTGTGCGAGACAATAAATTGGACAAATTAATCCCCTGTGTAACACACAGTGACTGCAGTTATAAAAGGTGGTTCCTTCTATTTCCATAACCAGAACTGGCAAGCCCACAGACTCCACGTAGGCAGCTTTGGTATTTCATGCTGTACATGTGTTATTTATGTGATTTTTTACCTCCGATACACAAAGCTTCATATCTAAGAGGGAAGAATAGGAGAAAACAAGGGACAATAGGAAAGATGGTCTCAATTGAAGGAGAAGAGGAAGGTGAAAAATAAAGCCATGTGCTTCTTTGCATGTTTCTTCATTGGAAGGCACCTCTCGGAATGATGATCAGCACTACTTTAAGAAGGGAGCTATCTGATGATTAGAAAGGTTTTTTTTGTTAGTCAGCTTGCAAAAAGAGCAACCTGCTTTACTTGTGGATTGCAGACTGATGACATTGGGGATAGGTGTAAGAAATGCATTCAGAAGTACGTTATTGGAATATAAAAACACATTAGCCTACAGCAACCATTTTCACAACAATTAAACAAGATGAACTTTAAGGATGTGCTATAACAGTAAAATCCTCCTTCAGATAAAACTGCTCTGGTTAAGTAGGGCCCAGTGATAAAATCCATCCTCATCTGAAATAGCATTCTGCCCTTTGAATGCTTGGGAGTTTGTGGAGTCCAGTTCTTTCCAGCTCCCTCGCTCATCTTGTGTGCTTGTTTTTGATAACTCACTTCTCTCTGAGCTTCTTTACTTTTGTTTGTAAGCTTACCAGGGCAAGAATTGACTCCTACCACATTATACAGTCCTGATTGTAGTTCTGGCTTCTAGAAACCACAGTAATACAGACTAACTGTCCCATGGCAAGAGCTCTTGGTGACTCTAAATGGTGTGTTGTGCATGTGAATCAAGATATAACATCTTTTTAAAAATCTCTCTTGCACAAGATGATATTCTGATCCATTATGTCTGGTGAAGAAATTGAATTAGAAATCTGTACTGCCCTTACTTTCCGCACAAATTCAGGAAGGGTGCCAGACTCCTAGACAATGGGGGAAAGAATTATTAAAGATGCCCTTCTGAGGTAAAGAAATAAAAATCCAAAGTAACATGCTAAAATTCCACTTCAAGTTCTGTTCTCCCCCCCTCCAGCATCCTCTGCAGTATTTTGAATTCTGCAGTGCATCTCTGATGTAATCAGAGCTCCTGCAAGGAGTCCTGATACTGCTCTGTGATGCAGACAATTCAAAGTTGTGCCTGGGTGATAACAAGCATGCAAGGAAGATGCGTAACTCCCCCCTAGACTCTTCTATCAATTCCAGTGCCTGGAACTGATCTCTGCTGCCTTTTACCATTTTGAAATTTAGCAAAAAAAAGTTTCAGTGCAGGGTGAATGTGAATACAGTGACTTGTCTGAAAGGATCCTGTAAGAAACGGCTTTGCAGTTTCCATGTTTTATAGTTTTCTTAGTTAAAATAGCCAGTGTTAAATGCAGCTCTCTTCTGACACCTGATTTCCATCCTGTATCGCCACTGGCAGGGTCCCCCATGCAATACCAAGCTGTACTCACACAGCTCTCTAGGTAGCAACAACAAATCTCAAACTTTAGCTCTGCTTGCAAAGTGAACCTCCAGCCAAATTGAAGTAAAACTTACAGGGGTCAATGTATAGCATAAACCAAAATCATCCTGAAAGAACACACAAACACAAAAAGCCAAACATATCTGCATGCTGCTCTCCTTGATCTGGTCAGTGTTATGCTTTAGGGCATCTTGTGACATCCTACAAACTGAATGATGACAAACGTTACCCGGTGGTTTGTTTTATATGGCTGAGCCCTATTCTGCCTGGTAACATTCAGAAGTGAAATAACTTTGCTAGATAACTTGTATCCCCAGGAGAAGGTTCGGACATACATTACAGGCAATAACTACGGTAGTTCGCTCACACTGAAATATATTTGTTAAGCAATTTTAGCAAGTCATATTGAAAACAGTCTTTTAAACATCTTGTCATAAAGTAAAGGATTTGGCATTTATTTGCATATAGCCGTATTTTGCCATTGAAATGAAGGTAGTCATGGAGCAGATATTTTACGAATGTTGTCTCTGCCCCCCCCAAATCTTTTCAAACAAAAAAAAACTGCCAGAAATACAATGTTTATCAAGACCAGTTAACTTTACCTATTAGCTGCCACGACCGCGAGTCCCTAAGTAGCTCGGTAGCAAAGCCATCTCGAGTATTTCAAAGAGAACTCTGCAAGAGACCTTCAGATTAGCCCAGGACGAGGAAATCTCAGCCGGCAGCCTCCGCACCGCGCCGTGCCGCCACCGGGCTCGGCGGGAGCGAGCGGGAGCCGCGGCGGGGCTGGCGGAGCATCCCCAGCACAGCAGCCCGCAGGACGAGGCGGCTCCCGCAGCCGGCAGAAGGCGGGGAGCAGCCGGGAAGGGCCCCGCCGGGAGCCGAGCGCCTCCCGCTGCGGGGAGCGGAGGCAGCCCGCTCCTTCTGCCAGCCCTGCCGCAGGAGCCGACCTGTTGCTGCAACCCCTGCGGGGACCCTCACGACCCCCGGGGGGGAGCCCCGGAGCCGGGGGGGAGCCCACCGTGCCGGGCTGTGCCTCCCGGTGCCCGCAACCCCGGCGGAAAAGTTCCCCGCAAACTTGCCTGGTGCCGGGCGGCGGGGGGCGGCCCCGCGGCATGGGGGCGGCCGCAGCCCCGGGTGCCGCTGCCCAGCTCCCCGCTCCCCGGGCCGCAGCCGGCGAGGGTCCCGGTGCCGAGCGCTCCGCATGGCGCACCCGGAGGCTCCCCCCGCGCAAAAGCCGCGCAAAAGGCGCGCAGAGCCCGCCCCGCGGGGGCGCGCCCGAGCTGGCGGCGGGGCCGGGGCAGGAGGGGCTCGCCCGCACCTCCCGCTCTACGGAGCCGCTTCTCCGCGGGGCCAGGGGCTCGCCGGGGAAAGGGGGCAGCCCGCTGGGGTCGTGCCTGGCACTGGGGGGTGGCAGCGGCAGGGTGGAGGGCGGACAGATGGACGGACAGACGGATGGGTGGACGGACGGACGGGTGCTGCCCCACTGTGACCCCCGGTGGGGTGCTGGAAGCAGGGTGCTGCCCACCGGTGGCACCCCTTAATGAACTTGTGGTGCTCTTCCCACTCGGTGCTGTGCGTGTCCCCGAGAAGTGTGCAAGGCTCGCACACACACACACACACACACACACACACACACACGGCCCCCCCTCCAGCGGGATGGCTCCAGGGAAGCCGAAATCCCGTGCAGGGGTCACCACATCGCACCCCTCGCACAGCTCAGGGGAGCGCTCCCCGTGCCCGCTGTGCACGGGAATCTGCGGGACAGCCGGGGGGAGCTCCTCGGAGCGGGGATCGTCTCCGATTTTAAGCGGGGAATTAAATCTGGGTGGCGGGGTTAAGGAGCCGGCAGCATCCTCAGCTCTGCCACGGACTCGTTCGTGGGCAAACCACTCCCACCCCACGTGTGCTGGCTCCCGGGGGGCGCAGAGCTGCTGCGCTCCTGCTCCTCGGCTGGCCTTACCTGCCTGGGCAGGGGTCCTGGAGGCAGGGAAACTCCTGCGGGTGGACTCCGGCACCTCGGGCCGGGCTGGGGAAGGCACCTCGAGCCGCGTGGGACAGGGGCTGTCTCCTGTTCTGAGCATTATGCACTGGCACCAAGAGCAGAGGGGGGGTCTCATTTCAAGTGAGGTCCTTTGTTGCTATGGTAATACAAATTGAAAACCTATACTATAGTAATTTTAGCAAAATCTCTCTCTCTCTCTTTTTTTTTTTTTTTTTCTAAATTAAATTGGACTGTGCTTCAGAATTGTGTGGGCTTACTGAAATAGTCATGCTTGTATTCTTCAACCGGAGTTGTTAAACAGCACTTCTGGAGGGCTGTCATCGGCTGTGGCTGAGAGCAACTTGCTGCTTTTTTCCTGATATCCGATTTTTATTTGATTTTGGGAAATTCTGTGATAAAGTTTTCTTAGGATGGCTCTCAGCCTTTAACTCTAGAAGGGATGTAGCTGTTCTTACTGACCACAGTGAGATGTATGGAGAGTTTTTCCCTTTGTGTATTCTATAACAGTCCTGCTAATGAAAACCTGTATTTCAAAAGCCTTTATGGATGGTTAGTGTCAAAAAGGAAGGACACACAAATAGGATCTCCCAGGGAATTTTCCAGGATCATTTTTCGCTGGTATTTTCTGTGATAACTTGGGCGATGGAGTGGATTGTACTTTTATAACACTTGCAGTGATTCCAGTCACGGCGTACAAGACTGGGTTTTAAAATGACCCTGAGATATTGAAGACCCAGTCTAAATTCAGCATGATAAAATTCTAGCAGAAGAAGTATGAAGTACGCCACTTAGGAAGGAATATCACATGTCAAATGAGGACTGTCTCGTTAGGAGAAAATACTGCAGGAGGGAGCCTTGGGATTGTAGTGGGTCATGGACTGTGCAGTGCTGCAAAATAGTTGTGCTGTTCTGAGCTCCAGTAGCAGGAGGATCGTATGTAAGGCATTGGAGGGTGTTATTTCTGTTCTGTTTAGCAACAGGCAGGCTTGGCTGAAGCACGCTATCCAGTTTCAAGCGTTACACACACTTTTAAAGAAAGATGTGGGCAAACAAGACAGGAGAATAGCAACCAGAGCTGCAAGGGGCTTAGGAAATGTAAGCTATGAGGCGTGATGGAATTTGATTGTTTGATCTCTAAAAGAAAACACAATGTAAGGACATGGAACAGTCTTCGGATGTGTAAACACATTTGTAAAGATGGCAGTAATCAGTTGTTCTGTGACCACCAATGGCAGGATAAAAAGCAACTTCCTGAAGTGCAATTAGGGAGATTACTTAAGATATCAGGGGGAAGGAAAAAAAAGGAGAGAAAAAACAAAACACCTGCTACTGTGAGAGCAGATGGAATCTCAGGAGGTTTAGAAAGAAGATTTAAAGGAGATTTTTTTTTTTAAAAAAAAAAAAGGTTGGATAAACATCTATCAGGGCTGGCTGTAGCATGAATGGCCATTCCTCAGAGCAGAGAAGATCTTGTTCCAGTGATCTCCCGAGACGTTTACCAGCCCATGTTTCTAGGATTTCTGATTGTCAAACAAGCTACACCTATCTATTCAGGAGAGGCATAATAGCATGGCGTAGAAGAACTCATTACACATCCTGCATATGATTAATGCAGCACTTTTAAGTAAGTCATGCCAGACTATGCATCAGTATCTCTTTAAGATCTGGAGACTGCAGCAGGTAGTGAGTGGAGCTATCCATTCCAAGTAAGCGGTTTTCAAATCCACTTTTGAACAATAATGATTGAAAATTGTTACTGCTTGATTGCCAGTGCAAATTTAAGCGTCTTGGAACTCGCTTGGTACTTACTGTCAAAATCACCACTTCATTTTTGGATGCTGGCGGAGTCAGGTGAGGTCAAGAACTTCATTGAGAGCCTGACTTTTTGAAATGAGAAATGAAAGGCAGATGTGAGAGCACTAACTGCAGGCTATACTAAATCTGTTCTGGCAAATGGAGATCTGTACTCTTCAGGCATGCCTTGCCTCCATCTTTCATGAACATGGAGTTTATGTGAAAAACAAAAGTTGTACATGCCCTTGAAGATAACAAGAAGTGCGCTAGCAGTTCATCTGCAGTGATAAGCTGACTGCAGCACAAACTGGCTGAGGATTCCCCAAGTAAATCTACTACTTTCTGCTCCTTGAGGAATTAGCATTGCCACAGAGTAAAAAATTAATCCCACTTTCATTACTTTTTGCAGCTTACGGCTGCTTTTCCTCTGTTCCTTTGATTGTTGACATTGAAATCCCTTTCTGTCATTTCTCTGGCTTTTGCAGATAATTCCAGCATCATTCTGCAGTCAGGAGCAGTGCTGCCAGCAAAACAAAGTATTTCAACTTTACAGCACCTTTCACCTCTAACTTTCCAAACAAAGCAGGAGGGTAAATTAATTTCTTATAAAACAGAATGTAAATTCCTATGCAGCTGAAAGATGAGAATTTTCAAAATGAAGCTACAGAGCAAGGATTGTTCACAGAACTTACTCATTAGAAAATTTCAACTAATGGATACATTACAAAAATGCCATCTGTTTGAGGAAGACTCTCTAAGCAGAGATAGAAGCAAAAGTCGTTGAATAAACTATGGATGAAAAATTATTCACCTGCTTTTAGAAAACTTAATATTTTTGTCTTTTGAGGATTCTATGTAATATATATGCAAAATGTTAAGCTGAAGGTGGATAGCACAGACTGCTCTTGTACAGAGATTCAAAAAGGTCTGAAAAAAGAATGTATAAAAACCCACGATACATTTTGCTGTGTATCAGTGGTGTTCTCACACAGAACATGGGAATTCCTTCAAGACCAAGGAAATATATTCCTTCATTTCTGTTTATACCCAGATATATTTTTATCTTGATTTCTGCTATTGCACAAAGAAAGTGGTTATGTGACACCTGTGATTTTGGCAATGGGGAAAGACTTTGAAGGGCAGTGAGAAAGTGCAGCCACTCAGTCTTAGCACCATCCACAGCAAAGGAAGCAGCAAGTGTTTGCCAGTACAGCTCCTTCAGCCCTTCCAATGTGACAATCCTACTGGGAAAGAAGGGCTTTAAAGTGACTGCAGATTAGGTAATGATCGTGGCCTGCCCTAAAATTCTTGAGCTGTGGGCACCCGTGGGACCACTTGGCCCAGGCTGCGCAGCAGATGAGCTGGTTTAAGGGGGTAGCCATTGCTTGGTGGAAAAGGTCCTCGAAATGAGCTGGGCATGGCAGTTTTCAGCAGTTCTGGAATGGATGTGGTGGTCCATGTGCTGAACACTACCCAGCACATGGCTAGTTACCATGTGCCTTGGTAACGAAGAAGTCCAGCAGCATCCTGGGATGTATTAACAGGAGCTTGGCCACTGATCAAGAGCAGTGATTGCTCCCTGCTAGATAACTTCTAGAATACTGCACCCAGTCTTGGGCCCACAGGATGGGATAAACATCCATAAACTGAACTGAGCTCAGCAGAGGGCCACCAAGATGGTCAGTGGCTGGAGCACATGTTCTGTTGAGAGGCTGAGGGAACTGGGCACTTGAAGAATAGCAGGTTTCAGGGATTCCTAATA